GGGGGGGGGGGGTCCCGCTGGGCGAAGGATCAGGTGGAACCGGGCACCGAGCCCTGGGAGATCCCCAAGAGGGGTTGGTTAGGGGAGGGTTCAGCACGGGCTCACGAAGACCAGGAGGGCTGGGGTAGTTGGGAGAAAGCCGCTCTCCCCAAGCCCGAGGTGACACAATCAAAGCTCCACGGGCCCCGGGCAGCACACTTGTGCTCACTCGCCGGGGCAGTGCAGCCAGGAACGGACTGAGGCAGCCGGGGGAGCGGGAGCCCAGGGCCGGCCTTGCGCTCTGGGCCCTGACCCTCCAGGCGGGCGCCTGTGCTCACCGGGCCCAGGACTTAGTCCACAGCAAGACCGAGCGAAGCCGCCCGGTCACGAGACGGCCGGCCGGCCAGGACAGGTGGGATAGGGAAACTGAGACAGCAGTTTGCAGCCATCTAGAAAATCTAGATGTCAGGCAGTTTTCAGACATCACGTAAACCGTCTTCCCTAAACCGGGGACACTTCAGAGTAAATGGTTTGTACTTCTCCCCAACCAGAGGGTAAATAGCTTAAATCTCCCTACGCCCTACTCAGGAGATAGCAGAAATCCAATGAGTACCATTTGCCAACCACACCCAAGGGCAGATGAAGTTAAGGGAACAAACCTCATTTTGGTCGATCCGCATAAATCTGATAAATATTCTATTGAAATCCTCCCCTAAGACTTCCCCCAAATGCCCAGCCTTTAAAACCCCTCAAAACAAAGGTCCCAGCATGTGCTCTCCCTCCCAGGAGCACTCCCGAGCCTCCCTCCCCCCTTCTCCCCCCACAGGCACACATCGTCTAAACTCTAAGGGACCCACAAGGCTTGTGACCAGGGCCACAATGAGCAGCCTGTTTGTCCCAGACAAAGCCCCTGAACCTGTCCCCAAGGCCCCCTTTTCTCTGACTTAGTGAGCCAAAGCAGCCCAGCCTAGGCTCACTTCCCCAGCCCTTGCTTGTTTCACTGCCCCCAGCTTTAATAAATGTTCTATAAAAATCACCTGGACTTGTGAAATTTTTCCTGCATGAAGAACTCACATACCACCAGCTGGACCTGGGGAGACCTGCTCAGGGCCAGGTCCCCTTTCCAGCAACAGTCATGGATGAGACACTG